AACATATCTCAAATACTTTTAAGTGTTTGTAAATACACTAATGTTACACTTAGTAGTAAGTGTTACATACTACTACTTTTAAGTGTAGTATGTAAATACTACATACTTTTAACATTGTCCACCATGCTGACCCAAGTGTAGGATACTCATACACTCCCGCCCCCCTCTCCTCCCCACTGTGAAAAACAGGATGAAATGGTCAAATGAAAAAAATAACAAAAAAAAAGTGTTTTCTTTTCCCAGCCTAAACTAATGTAAAGTACTGCACAGAATATTCTGATTGGGCATGTTCTTATGATAGAAAAACAAGGGTCAATTACATGATTAATCTGGCTGGCCAATAGAAACTTGAGGGTTCCTTGGCAGGAGTGGAGTACAGGCAGTCCTCCACTTACAACGTTTTGAGTTACAACGTTTCGCACTTACAACATTTATAAATTGACACCCTGTTTCAACTTTATGATGTCAGTTTCGACTTACAACTCTTCATCTGATGCAATGCCACGCCAGCAAACAAGTTCGCTGTGTCACTCATTTCCCTGGAGAACATCTGTCCAAACTTCCTTGGACACTTTCTTTAAGAACACAGCCAGGAATCCTAAGAAGACTCCAGCCAAGAACCCTTCAAAAAGTCCTGCAAAGTCACCTCAAAGAAGTCCTTCCAAATCAATATGATAGCTAGTTACAATATAAATACATTAATGAAGCTATATTACTCATCTATAATTGATCGAGTACAAAATTCTGGGGTATTTTTGGTGAAAATAGGATATCAGGCCTTGGTTCAATCCCCCATTTATAACATTGTTTCTTATGAGAAAGTTGGTTCCGAGTTACAACGTTTCGACTTAAGATACGGTTTGCAGGAACCAGTTGTGTCGTAAGTCCGAGGACTGCCTGTACAAAGTTTGGATGTGGAACACCAGCTCAAGGAAAATATGGTCACTATAATAGTCAGCTGCTGCTCAAAAATGCTCCAAGAGTTTGTCCGGGTTCATAATTCCTAGTGTGGTTTTGGTGAAGGAGTGCATTTCCCAGACCAGAGACATTGTTAAATTGAAAAACAGGATTACTTACTAATTTTCACTCTTCTGTAACAGAAGTTGTGTGTGTAACCATGCATGTTATCCATTAAAAAATACAGCATAGAAATGATAGATTTGGGGTTGAATGTCAAGGCATATAATATTTCTTCCTTTTTTCTTTTCTTTGAATATTTAGTGGAAACCTGGATAAACAGACTGCATTGGGGAATACGGTTCTACACTACTGCAGTATATATAATAAGCCTGAGTGTCTGAAGTTGCTTCTGAGGGGCAAACCAACTGTTGATATAGGTAAGCTCTATTTTTTGTTTGATAAACAATAGTTGTTCCTATAATAAGGTTCAGTAGTTTTGTTTCTACACTATAACGTTGAAAATGAATTGCCAAAGATGAAAGCTATTAATCATGTACCCATGATATGAATCTTTCAGTAACAGAGCTATAGGAGGGATTCAGCTGAGAAATAGTTTACTCAATCATTTTTATACCGTTGTATATTACAGTTCTTCAGGTGATTCCTCTCTAGAGGCACATACATTTCATGCACATGAGTGAATACTTTATGAAAAGTAACATCCTTTTGGAATGAACTTGCACTTTATGTCCTTGCTACCACAGTAGAGTATAATAGGCAGTATTCAAAGTACAGTATTTTGAATTGGTGACAGAAATGTCTATTGCTATATACTCTTTCCCTTCAGTCTCTGTGGCCCTACAGATCTTTACCAGAATCTTCCCTAAAATTGGACATGTTCTCTGCCTTCCTGGGCATAAATACATAGGTGGAGTTTTTGTAAAGCCAGATCAAGATGCAGGCTGTGTCATTCCTGCAGCTTTGATTTTCAAAAGTGGTAAATCTCTACCCTTATTCACCTTAACACTTCCTTCCAGAAGAATGTCTTCTTTGGAGAGGTAATGCCTGTCTAAACTACCAAATATTCTGCAACAAAGTAGAAAGTCTTCCTCCAGACTGTTTAGTTGCATGGAAAAGTGTTTCTTACCTGAGCTGTGGAACACCAGCTTTTACATGTAAATATCTCAATTTTAACCTTTTATACTATTTACACACCCTGAAGAAATCTTTCATAGAAAATTAGGGTTGGAAGGGACCTCAAGACGTCATCTAATCACCTCGGTTCTGTCTGGTTTGACAGAATACCTTGTGACAACTTGTTTCCTTTGTCGCCTACAAATGACCTTTTTGATGGCCATTACATCACCTAGGGAAGGGATTCATGACTCTGTAAGGACAGGGTAACCTTTAGGCCTTACATCAAGTTTCTTTACAAGGTTGTTTGACTTTTATCTTAGTCCATTATCAGTTTATTTTTTCCTCTAAAAATTAATTCCACACCAGGTGAGAGAGAATTTCACATTCTGGCAGTGGTGAGGGTTTTATTTGGAGCAAATTATTTCAGTCCTCTCCAGACTGTGGTATCTCACGAGTGTATGTGGGACATTTGTATCCATCCAAACATCATCAACAGGGTTGTCCTACAGTTATTTTGAGTAGGGCTTCTCTCCATGCTTCCACACTTGGGAGATCTGCTTGTTGATCACCTACAATGGAATCCATATAGATTAGGAATGTAAAAGAGTAAACAATTAATCATTTAACTGATAAGCCCAATGATAACTGGTTAGCTTATTGGTTATCATTTATTGGGGGGGAGGGGGGAGAGGGAGGGGCTGGAAGTCCAGGGGGAAGGGAAGCCATGCAGTGTCCTAGCAGGACTGGAAGGCAGCAGGACAGGCAGGAGGTGAGGAGGAGGAAGGGAGTAGGGAATAGTATCCATGTAGCCTATGAGGTTAAAGAAAACCATGTTCAACCTAACGATTTGTCAATGTAAGCAATTAGCTACTCATTCACAGGTGCTTCCTCCCTCCCAGCTTCACCTGAGCTGTGTTGGCTGGCAGGGCTTGCCACTGCCGCATCTCCTCCCTGTCATAGGGTCCAGGGAATGGCTCCCAGCAGCAGCCGTGTTATCAGTTAATCAGCTACTGTGTTATCTGTTAATCGTTTAACTCAGGGGTGGGCAAAATGTAGCCTGCAGGCTGGAAGCGGCCCACCAAGCCATTCTATCTGGCCCACAGGGCCCCTAAAAATTTTAGAAATTTAATATTTATCTGCCCTGGGCTGCCTATCATGTGGCTCTCAATGGCTTGTCAAAACTCAGTCAGTGGCCCTCCACCCAAAATAATTGCCCGCCCCTGGACTTTAACTGGTATATTAGAGGAGGTTAAACGGATAATTTTTTTTAACAATATTTACATCCCTAATATAGACCATTATTCAGAGGAAGATTGCCTGTTCATCTTAGGGCAGTTGGTTCTTTTGAACTATGTTGTTGTTGTCCATAGCTGGCTAGCCCTGCACTGGCGCTATAAATCCCAGGTCCTGTAAATCACCTTCATTTCCTGCTAATCAAAATTCTGTTCATATACAACTCTTATTGACAAAGGGTCTGAGTTGCAATTGCAATTGAGGTAGCCCCTTATGTATAATAACCTGTGCTTGGGTTAAGCCTTGAGTACAGCCAGAATACATACATGTGAGATCAGAATCTTTTTAACTAGTAATATGGAGCAAGCAAGTGTGAATTGTGTGGATAAAATCTCTCAGCTATGATCACTGTAAGGTAAGTAACAATACTTTTTCAATCAATTTTTTTTAAAGTAAATCTTCCTTAGCATATTGAAAGTTAATGCACTGATTGTGGAGACATTTTACAGAAGAGCTTTTTAATTCTCTTTGCAGTAAATCAAGCGGGAGAGACAGCTCTGGATACGGCAAAAAGATTGAAAGCTATCCAATGTGAAGAACTGGTAAGACAGATGGCTACGTTTTATTAAGCACTTATATCTTAGGATATAAATGGTCTTATTATATTATTTTTATCCTGCCTAAGTTTCGATTGCCTGCCCCATGAGGGAGATTCAGAATGACCTAGTTGACCCATACATCTTAACATTCCCATATGTTCAATGGAGTGACTTGAGAGATGTCTGAGTGGTGTGTGTTTATGCATCTAGGTGCTCTGTACAGAGCATAGGGAGTGATACTTGCCTCTGAAGCTTGGAGCCAGGTATCAGAAAGGTTTCCAGAAAGCTTGGAGATGCTTCTGGGTAGCCAATGGGAAATGCTAAACTATAGCGTTGTGGCTTAACTCTAGCACATCTCAAATTCTGTATAAAGAGTCTCCACTAGCTTGTGTTTCAGAGTGCTCACTTCTGAAGAGACCTGTACGATGGGTTTCTGAAGACAGGCAGTTCACAAGCTATGGTTATAATGACTGTGCTCACCTTTGGCTCAGTTTCCTAGTGATTAGAGCATATGCCTAGGACAGGAGACCTAGATGATACCTCATTTTCAGGGTATTTAAAAACTACTCTCTGACTTCCATGAAGAGTTTCCTAACCACTGAGCTCTAGAATAGGCTAGATAAAGGCACTCTTTACTCCTCTTCTGAAGCTGGGCCATTGGAAGGACGCAGAAGGACAGAAAGCAAGAGGAAAGCCTGCCTCTGTAGTCTAATGGTGATAGCACTCCTGTGTAAAAGGGGTGAGGCAGTCCTGCATTCTAGTCCTTTTTTCCTAGCACTCTGCATTTTTCAGTAGAGTCGCTGATTAAAAAACAGAAATAAACCTGACAGCTTTTTTGCTAAATATAGTCTGAATAAAAAAAAATACTTGAAAGCTCAGGGGCCCTTGAGATCCTGTGATTAAATAGTACCATGGAATGGCAGGAAAATACTTGTATGCCACATACTTGTTAATAAATCCCAATATCCTGGTACTTTTTTCAGCCATGCTGCATTGTCAGTCTTTTAGTTTCACTATAACTCCCATGTCCTTCTCGAAGTACTTCAGCCCTGTTTTTATTTGTGAATGTCACTGTTCCTTCCTAAGTGTAATGCTTCTTATGTTTTGAAATGAAATTCAGTGAGAACAAGTCATTAATGAAGGTATTGAACATTACGGATCAATGACAGCTCCTGTTAAGCCCACAAAACCCTTTTTCTCTGCTGGACATTGAGCCATTGATGACTACTCACTGAGCACAATTATCCAACCAGTTGTATACCCACCTTACAATAGTTGTATATAGACCATGTTCTTTAATTTACTTACGAAGATGTGAAAGACAGTATTAGATATCTTATTAATGTCAAGGTATATCATATCTACTGTTCCCCCAATCCATTCCACAAGGCCTGTCACTTTCTCATAGAAGGACATCAGATTCATTAGGTCTGATTTTTGTCTGGACAATCCATATCTCTTATCACCTTCTTCTCCTTTAGCTGAGTATACATTACTTATTAGCGATAAGCTCCAATATTTTTCCAGCTATCAAAGTTAGAATGATTTCTTTATAATTCAATGGGTTTGCCTTTTTTCTTTTTCTAAATATTGCTCTCCCTGGCTTTCTGAAACCTCCTGTGACCTTGGAGTTCTCCAAGAAAATAGTCACTGGCTCAGCAATTGTATTAGCTAATTCCTTGAGTGCTCTAGAATGAATTCCTCAGACCACTGATTTGAAAACATCCAACTTAGATAAGTAATATTTAACTTGTTCTTTCTGTAACTTACCTCTGTTTTCTTGATAGTAATTGGACTGGGCATCTGATATTTGGCCTTTCTTCTGACGACTGAAATAAGAGGCATTAAAGCCCTCAGTTATCTTCACATCATCCATTATTAGCTTTCCTTTGCCACTCAGTAAGGGATCTACACTTTTGTTTTTCCTCCTCTTACTGCTAATGTATTTTAGTTGGTATCTTGGCCTTTCTGATTGTGTCCTGGTATGTGTGTACTGTATGCTTCATACTCACCCTTGGCAATAGGGCTACATTTACCCTTTTTGTAAGATTGCTTTTTAAGTTTCTTTGTAGAAGAGCTTATGACTTAAATAAGCAGGTCCATGACTGAGTTCCCTATCCTTGTTTCACAACACGATGCCATGCTCTTTTATCCTTAATGTTGTCTCATAAAGGAATAACCAATTTTCCTGGACCTCTTTTTCCTTGAGACCTGCCTATTAGTTATCTGAATTGAATCATGGCTGAAAGGGACCTCACAAGATCATCTAATCCAGTCCCATACTTAAACCATCCCAGTCGAGTGTCTGTCTAACCTGCTCTTGAAAATTTCCAGGCATGGAGAGTCCACAGCTTCTCGACAGAACTCGTTCCATTGCTTGACTCGTCAAAGTTCTTCCTAATCTTCAACCTAAATTTCCACTGCTGCAATTTGCAGTCATTGGTCCCGATTCTGTCCCCTATGGCCACAGAGAATGGTCTATCTCCATCCTCTATAATTACCTTTCAGATATTTGAAAACTGCTAACAAATCTTCCCTTAGTCTTCTCCAGTCTAAATAACCCTGCTTCCTTCAGCCTGTCTTCATAAGTCACACTTCCCAGGCTCCTAATAATTGTTGTTGCTCTCTGTTGGACTTCCAATCTGTCCGCATCTTTCTTGAAGTGTGGGACCCAAACTGGACCTATACTCTAGGTGAGGCCTCAGCAGTGGTGAATAGAGTGGAAGAATCACTCAATAAATCCAGGATGCCAGCTGATAAAACTCCAGATAAAACCCAGCATGCCATTAGCTTTTTTATTTTTTCCTCATAAGAACATACTGTTGGCTCACATTCTGCTTGTGGTCCATAAATAGTCCGTGCACTTTTTTCCTGACCTGAGGATCATGAATTCTCTAGTTCCGTGATCACTGTCATTCAGATTGCTTCCTATCTTCAGTTTTTTTTTATCAGCTTCTCTCTGTTAGTATACCATAAATTGAGAAGATCCTCCCCCTACTTGGTTTCTCTACTTTCTGTGCTGAAAAATTCTCTCCAACACAGTCCAAGAGCTTACAGGACTGTCTGTGCAACTGTGATATCTCCTAACAGGAATCATAGTGATTAACTAAATAACGAACTGATTACATGCTTCAGTTCGTTTTAAAAGTGTTCTCTATCTCCTTGTCATCCTGGTATGGTGGTTCGTAAAAGCTGGATAGTTAAAAGTTGGACAGGTTTTCCTACGCTTGGGGTACTACAGAATTATGCATTTGTAACACTTGCATCATCACAGCTTACTCCCCTTTGGTATTAATACAATTGTTGCATTTATCTGGACCACTAAAAATTAAGGCAAAACCTCTTTTTCTCTCCTGGGGTCCCTAAGCAATGCCCACCCATGTCAGTTTTGCAGTGGTGACCTCTCTGCTGACCTTACTATCTCAAATCATAATTTTGTAAGTGGGTATCTTCCTACTTGGTCTCCACATTTCTTTCATTAAAACACAGGCAACTTAGTTGAGTAGCAGACTGTCCTGCTAGCTTCTCCCTTACAGCGTTGTTCCTATTTCCTATATCTTTTTTTGTTCCTAGGGTTTTATCCAGGTTACCCTGCCTTTTCCCTACCTTTTGACTCAAGCTTCTGTTGAGTCTAGTTTTAAAGTCTTCGCTAGATCAGTGAGTCTGAGCAAAGTTTTTCTTCCTCTGTTAGGTGTATCCTATCTCTGTTTGGAAGACCAGCTTCTTTAAGTACCACCCCAGATTTGAAGAAGCCAAAACCCTCAGCAACACTGTCTGAGCACCCATGTTTTGATCTCCAGGTTGCATTTGTGTTTGCCCTTTTGACTGGAAGGATACATGAGAATGCAACCTGATAACCTGCCTCCTTTATCTTCATACCCATACCCCTTTTGGTTTGCTTAGGGTCATATCTGGCAGTCTTGTTGGTGAGCAGCATGAAGTAGTAGAGAGAAGCCCCCAGGTTATTTCCAGGTGTCTGAAGTCTCAAGATTTAAAGCCAGGAACCATTGAACCAATCTCATTGGACCTGAAACCCCAGAATAGGTATTCTGCAAGATGATATATTTTTAGAAGCAAAACAGATTGGCATGCTGTTGTTATTTTACAATGCCCAAGAAAAGAATGTGGTTAGTAGGACATCCAGTCTTCAGATATTACCAGAGGCTCAAAGTTCTTAAGAATTGGGGAAATTTCCCAAATATCTCCAGTTATGAGACTCTTTTAAAAACAGTGGTACCCTTAGTGATTTAAATAATAAGTCTTCTTCTGTTTTGTGACAGTCCAGCATCAGAATATTTATCTTTCATCCACAGCTTGCAAATGTTAGCACTTTTACTAGCATCTAAAAGTGTTTTACAAATATTTATTTCTAATTTCCCATTGCCAAAGTATTCAACAAGAATACTTTAGTTTGTAATACTTCAGGTGCATTTTTATCTGGTTAATAACTTGCTTTCTTGGGATCATCAGCAAATGAGTCATTCTGGTTGAAAAGTCATGTTTCCATTACAAGCCACTTAGTTAATACCATTTTTGTTTCAGCTAGGACCTTTTTCAGCATTGCAGGTAAAGTGCCCACTAAAAGAAAATTTGCTGTGCAACAGTGTTAGGTCTGACCAGCTGTTTGTGTATGCTCTAGTTCTGTTTCATAATAAAAATATCTATTATCCAAACCTGAGCAATATAATATGGGAAAGTTGATTATAAGAAGTTTTTCATGCTGTAAGCCCATGAAATCAAGGATCTAACTAACCGTCGTCAAATTACTTTTGTACACATGAATTAACAATAAGACACTTCACATATTTCTTAGTTTTTGTTTTGGGTTTTTTTTGTTTGGAAGAGAAAAGTTTGCCATTGTTTAAAGAATTACAGAATGAGATTGTGCTTACAACAAAGAGGAAATGTCAGCACTTTTTATGCCCATGTAAACTATAACAGGAATAGAAAACTATGATGCCTAAGTATTTGTGATGATGTGGATAATGCCAAAGTATTAGTTTAATTTCATATGAACTAATTCAGATGTGTTAACTGCTCTACCGTGCTCGAGAAACATTGACATTATTGCTGACATAGTTTGGTGATGTACAATTCAAGGTCCTGCTTCATGCATGGTTGAAGATGTAGCAGTTTAGTTCTATATAGGCTCATGCACACATAACAGTTGCATTGTACCAGCTACTGTGTACTCCCATACTGGCTATCGTGGAAAAATGATAACTAACAAGATATACTTGTTATTTATGTACTATGTACTAAGTTTATCAGATCCTGTTTTTCTTCCCATTCTTCAGTAGGTACTACACAAAATGACAAAGATAGCTTTTCACAATAGCTCAGCATGAAAAGCTGAGCAAAAAGGGCAAATTTTGTGGCTTTTGAAAAGAAATCCCCTGATGTGCGCTTCTGTACAGCTGCTATGAATTTGTGTTGCTATTTCTGTTGTGTTAAAATATAAGCATTTTTAAGCCAAATATGACAACTTTAAGGTTTAAAGAAACCTTTTTTCTTGGAGTTGTTTTTATTCTGAGTATAGGAGAAATACTTAAAGAAAACAAAACGAGGTTTGTTTGATGCCCCAGTACAGTGTCTTTATATCCTTTGGTCAAGCTTTGAAATATATTTCCTTAAGGAGGGCTTCAGAAATGAGAACCAGAGATTGAAAAACAAATTAAAAAAAATAGTTATTTGAATAAAAGCTGTTTTGCTTTTGCTTTTCAGCTTTCCCAAGCCAAGTCAGGAAAGCTAAATCCACATGTACATGTAGAATATGAGTGGAACCTTCGACAGGAAGAAATTGATGAAAGTGATGATGATTTAGATGACAAGGTAAAAATGAATTTTGAATGCTTGAAATGGGTTTCCTGGGAGTTGTCAGGATTTGCTTATTTGTGGAAATGTAAGAAGAAATGTAATGTTTAAGACCTAGTTTCCATTTAAACATTTTCAAATAATGGGGCTATATAGTTCTTTAACTGAAGTAGGTATTCACGAATACTAAAAGAGTACGTAGAATGTATCTTTAGTATAAAGGGTCTTTGGTTGTAGCTGTGTTGGTCTAAGGACATAGGCAGGCGAGGTTCTTTGGGTAGATGTGATATCTTTTATTAGACCAACTGAGTAGTTGGAAAAAAGTTCTTGGCAAGCTTTCGGGCTCTGTCACCCTTAGACCAGCAGAGACTCCCTCTGCCTGATGGAGACGCCAAGGAATGAGAAAAGCTAAAAGTGTGGTAAGAGGTCAGTGAAAATGTAAATAGGTAGAGATAAGCAAGACAACAGGAAAAACAGGGAAGGGAGAGGGGAAGAGAGCAGGAGGGGAAGAAAAGGTCAGAAGGAGACAACAGAGATAAAATACAAGGTGGAAAAGAGGTTGTTGTAAAAAAGGGAATAGTTGGAGATCAGAGAAGCAGGAAT